CCTTGGGGAACCCCGCAAGTTATGGCGCTATTTGTTGTTTTTGTTGTTTCATGCTGAATATATTGCTTTCGGTTTGATAAATAATCTTTAAACCAAAGTAAGTTATTATTTTTTACTCCATACACTTCGAGTTTTTTTAGAAGAATGTCGTGATTTACGGTATCAAAAGCTTTAGAAAGATCAATAAAAACTCCTAGCGTAAAGCAATCATTATTAAAAGCATTAGATATTTGATTAACTAGCTCAATTATAGCATGGTCGGTTGAGTGGTTTTTTTTAAATCCAAATTGTTTACCGTATAAAAAATTGTTTTCCGTCAAATAATTGTAAAGTCTATTATACATGACGCGTTCTAGTAATTTGGAAAAACATGGTAAAACTGATATAGGTCTATAATTATTAGTATCAAAATCATCTCCAGATTTAAAAACAGGGGTGACTCGAGCAATTTTTAGTTTAACCGGGACAATGCCTGATTTGAGCGAAAGATCGAAGATGTGGTGCAATGATGGTTCAATGATATCAAATACTGATTTTACGACAAAGCTAATGATATTATCAAAGCCCGCACTTTTGTTGTTTTTTAGATTGTTTAAAGCGGATCGCAATTCATTAGAATCTAGATGTGTTTCTTTCATAATCTTTTCTGTGGTAAGGTTCTTAATCAAGTAAGAATGAAATGTTGCAGAACTCGACGGAATTTCTGCTGCTAAATTGTGACCCACATTAAGAAAAAAGCTATTTAGATATTCAGCTATTATTATCTTATCACTGACTAATTTACCATCAATTAAAAGCTTTTTTCGGGAGATTGCTTTTTTTACAGTTATTATTACCGATTATCTCTTTAATCAATTTCCATGTTTTCTTAGCATTGCCATGTTTTTTTTTTTTAACAAATTTGAATAATAAAGCTTTTTTGAGTATTGTTTTGTTTTTTCAAACAAGTTTTTATAATTTTTATAAGTTATTTCATTTTTATAAGTTTTATTTTTTAGGAATTTGTCGTTTTTGTTTTTTTCTTGAGGATTTGATTAAACCTTTAGACATCCAAGGAGTTAGAAGTGACTTTTTGTTTATAACAACAGTTTTAACTGGAAACGCTTTTTCATAATATTTACAAAATTGACCTAGAAAAAGTTCGAAGGCGTTGTTCGCATCGCTTGATTTTATATCCGTGATTATTCATTCTTAAACGGTTCTTACTTATTCTTATAGAAACAGAAAGACTCCAGTAGAATTTACAATTGTCAATAACAAGCATCTGCTCTTCCACATCCTCATTCTTAATCGCTGATGCCAACATTGAAGAAATGAAAGTACAAAATGAATCTGCATTCTAGTCTCCAGTTTTTATTTCATAAGCCAACACTCCCATTGCTGAAACAGCTCAAATCAAACTAAGATTCTTGCCGCAATTTGCAGACGACTGCAAAATTGCTGGCGAACTTCTTTGCAAAAAACTATATGTGCTGTTGGTGTGCACATTAAATCCAGTTTCATCCAAATAAATAAGTCTTTCATTTAAAATTTCATTAATTTCATTTTCAAATGCATAGCGTGCTTCAATTCTCGTGTTAAGTATCGTTTTTCTGGCATATTCATAACACGCTTTTTTGATAAATTTGAGCGTTTGAGTTTTCTTGGAATAGAAGGCTGAGACATGTTGAAGCCTGCTGCAGAAAGATTTTCTTTTATTGCTTCTTGCGTATAAAGATTGTTTTCTTGTACGCATTATTAAATAATAATTTTTTAGTTGAGCGTTATTAGGTCTTTTACCTCGTTTTTTATCAGAAAACGACTTGAATGCAGTCATTTCGTAAAATTCTCCTCTGTTTAACTTAACGGGAAGATTTTGAACTGTGCCCTTAGATAAATTAAGAAAAGTGGAAAAGCTTGTTGTAGATTCATTTCTTTCAACTAAATGCTTTGGCTTGTGCTCTTTTGTAAGATTTTTCCTTGTTTTTCAATTGGCACTGCTATTTTCTCTTCCATTTGTAGGGTATATATTTGTGTATTATATAATAGTTATAAATAATTAAATTTAAATTTAGATAAATGAATAATTAGACAAATAATAATTTAATCAGTCAATAATTTTAATAATAAAATTAAACCAAGACCTAATACTAAATTAAGTAAGAAAAAGAGGGTAGTTTGTACACTAAATAAACCATCATCGAAAGTATCATCATCGAAACTTTGACTTTTTTTAGTATTATTAACCTTGTTTACCAGAAAACAAGGACAATGTGTTTTGAAAAAAACTGTGCTTTTTTAAAACGCATATAAGAATGAATAAATGCGCATATAAGAATAAGTAAGAACCGTTTAAGAATGAATAATCACGGATATAAAAATGAATAACCAGCAACAAGCCAACCATTTTTTTATATGATCGGAAACTATATTTATAGTTAAATTATGATGAAGAACTACAAAAAAGAGTTTTAGCGAAGCCCATAGCTCATTATCAGTAACGGATCCAGGAATTTTAGGCGGTGATAGTGATGGTGGTGGTTGTGGTGAGGTGTTGAAATATTTTTGTATTTTGTACCATATTTGCGCCTCCTAAAATAATATTTTAAAAAAATCCTCAATTTCTAAGATATTTTTAGGACTTTCAGATTCTGGTGGTGGTGGTGGAAGAGGGGAAGGGGGGTTAGAATGCATACCCCCATCTCCCCCTGGATTCGTCATCGCTTAATATACGCAACACTTATCACAAGATGTTATAGTCATAGGATGATCATTCAATTGAGGGAATGACGGGTTGTGTAATTAGTCCTGTTCCGATTAAATCGTTTAAAACAAATGTTTGCAATTTTTTTTTTTTTTTTTAACTGCGCTGTAGTGACATCAACCTTGTAGTGACATCAACTATAGTGACATCAACATTTACGAATGATTGATATTGATTTGTGCATATTTTTGAATTTGTTTTGTAAATAAAGCTTTTGATAACTTTTGACATTTATTAATGTTGTAATTTAATCCGCTTTTCACAAGTTTGTGTACTTTGTTTGTATACTTTTTTAATAAAACATATCGTAAGTTTAATTTTAACGTTTTTGCAAACATACTAAGTTATGCCGCAATGTTTTCATTATTTTTTACTTTTTTCTTAGATCTACTTTTTTTTCGAAACTATTTTCTTACTTCCTGAATTGGAAAAATCTACAAAAACAAGTTAAAAAACTATTGGAAAATTACCAAAATATTATATCAATTAAAATCTTTTACCGCCATATACTCTTACAAGCTATATATAAGTATTTTAGGCGTTTTGCACGGATTATTCTTTCTTTTTTTTTTAGTTTTTAAGGAGCTCCGCAAAGACCATAAGTGCTTATTAAAGAGCACTGTGGAATAGCCACAGAGTTCACGCCCAGGTCCAATGACATGGGTTTTAAAGTGGAGAGGCACAATCGTCAATATCTAAAAAAAGTCCCCTATATCCCTAAAAAATATCCCCAAAAAAGTCCCCTAAATATAACATTTGTGGCATTGTTATTAAACAATGTAATATATAATAAATAAAAAATAAATGATAAACTATTTTCTATGCAATCATTAATTCTCTATAACTTCTCTATAACTTCTTTTTTTTTTTTAAATTCTTTTTATTTTACTTTAATGCATATTCAATATTTCTATTTCTTTCCATAATACTATGCTTAAGATATTCTGGTAACAAAACTCTTCTAAGACTTCTACTTCTAAAACTCTTCTTTCCAAGTCGTTAAACTTTCCATTGTTTTTTCTTCTTTTTTTCTGTAATACTTTTTTTGTTGTTGATATTATGATTTTATATTTTTTATTATGTATTATTATCAACGATAATCACTACATATAACGATAATATAACGATAATCACTATTTGCTACAAATGTTTTATTTTGATTATACTAGTAAAATATATATAAATTATATTACTGTATTTAATATTATTATTACTATTACTATTTATTGTTATTATTAAGCTATAATTTATACCATCATAGGTCTTTACTCGTCATCATAGGTCTTTACTCGTCATCATACAGTTTGTAAATGTCCCGCACGATTGTGTATATATCAAGTTATTATTTAACTGAAAATATATTGATTTGATTATCTATTAAAAAAAAAAAAAGTTGCTTTCGACGACACTAGGGGATGAATGGGTAGGCAATACCCCGGCCCCTTCGCGCTCTGGTGTCGTCAGTTCTACTTGTCGCTTATCTGTTCATAGCTTAACCTTTTGGTTAAAAGCCAGACCTCTAACCTCTGTGCCACATCGAATTCTAATTTTTAAAACTAGGAAGTAATAAAAATTAGATGAAGGAGTTAAATTCCGTTTTTTTTCTTCTTATAGATTTAGAACAATTTATAAATCACTACTATTTACAATAAAATAATAAGTAACTATACTTAAACTTATTTAACACGACAAAATTTTTATCAGACAAAACTTAACCCTGTCGTTGGACATCATACGAAAATAAACCATTTGTAGCGGCGGCTTCACTTCATATATTGACCAACGTATAAAGAATATTATATTTATTACAGCAATAAAAATAAAAAAATTCTTAGGTTTTCCGGAAAAGTAATAAGATTAAAATCAGTGTTTTATAAGTCAATAAAATATATAATAACAATCACTAAGTTCCCAGGAATTAATAAAAATAGGTCTATTTATTTGCAGATTAACTCGTAGCTTAGTAGTAACTCGTAGTAAGTAGTTTACTAGTAACTCGTAGTAAGTAGTAAACAGTTTAGTAAGAAAGTAAGTAGAATTACTTATGTTTACTATAAAAAAATCGAACGTGAAGAAGACAGTATATTTTTAACACTTTTAAAACTGTAATTTTAATTAAAAAAACGACGGTTAATAAATAATCTTATTGACAAGATTCATAAAATTTCTACAAATATCTTTAATAACTTCAATTTAAAATTCATTTTCTAAAGAACTCAAATCTTTTAAATTTCTGAAAATTCTATTAAAAAAATGTTTAAATAATGTTCTTTGAAGAACCCACCAATACTTTCGACCAGCGATTTACGTACTGAATGACATGAACTTTACAGAAGTCTGTTTTAAATAAGAATAGTAAAACGATAATTGCAAACGCGATAAAGCTAATCAACCATACAAACCGAGCTGATGAGATATTTGCTTTATGTTCTGAAAAATAAAAATATTTTCTTTTTGAAAATAAACTAAAGTAATAAACTGAGGTAAAGAGCATCAAGAGTTTAGAGCAAAGAAAATAAAAAAGCTACGTTTAATTTATGACAAAAACTCAAGGATGCAATAATAACTGAATAAACTAACTAAATATCCTAAGTTTAATCCAGTTAACCAATGTTATTAGCAATCCGGTTTTAAAAAGAATATGAAACGAAAACTCCAATCAAAAAAATTTAGGGTTAATTTAATTCTAAAATTAGCTATGTACATGCTTGTTGTTTTTTTATCTGTTTATTTTCTCCCTACTGTTTACTCCATACCTATCTGTTAAGCCTCCTTACTGCTTACTCCATACCTATCTGTTAAGCCTCCATTCTGTTTACTCAATACCTATCTGTTAAGTCTTCCTATTGTTTATTCCATACAGATCTGTTAAGCCTCCATACTATTTTTTTTTTGTCAAGAATAGAAGTTTAGTTATAAAAGTGATGTTTTAAATAAAATAAACTGCAATTTTTTTATCAATGATTTTTTCAACTTTTTCCTTTTTTTTTAGTAGTATTTTAAACTTCTTTTTTTAAACTTTCTGGTAATAATTTTGATGAAGTTGTTGAAATTCATCAACATCAACACCTTTTGATTGATATCCATATTTCTACTGCCCTAAGAAATTGTGATGCTGTCCTTACTTTGATACTTTGTGTAATCTTTTGACAAACCTTGGCTGTATCCAGTGCCGGATTTATCAAGAGGCTGACTAGGCCGCGTCCTAGGGTCCCGCGATTATAGGGGCCCCAATATGTCGAAAATATTTCAGAATTTTTTACTGTTTTACTATTTTTATATATAAAAAAGGGCCCCAAAACATAACCCGTCCTAGGGCCCCCAGAAGTGTAAATCCGGCCCTGGATTAATAGTAATATATATCACCATGTTACCAAAGATAATATTTAGGACTATATATTAGTGTTGAAAATTTCCGCAAAATTTCCGGAAATTTTCAGCCATAATATTTTGCGGAACAAGTAACAGAAACAAAGTTTGTTTGTTCTAATACTTGTTTTGGAAATTATTAGGGCTGAAAATTTCCGGAAATTTTCAACACTAATATATATTACCTTAGTAGTCGATATAACTAAAAGAAAAAAATAAGTTGATTGTAAGTTCTCATATTTTAAATAATTTAAATATTTTTTCAATTTAAATATGAGAATGTTTGAAAAGTTTTCCCCAAAGAAGACATTTTTTTAAAATTTACTTGCAAAAAAAATTTCAATGCGTCTGACAAAAGCATAACAGATAATCATGATTTGAAAAGTAACAAACGAGAAACATAACAACATTTTCATACAGATTTCAAAATACTATGACACAAATATAATATAAACTAATAAAAAAAAAAACACATTCTAGCCAAAGCTGAAAATTTTTTTTATAACAATAATTTTTATTAACTTCAGAGAAAAACAGATTTTTTTTATTTAATGAAAAATTAACAATTTGGAAATTTCTTTTAGAAAAAACAATATAAAGTTGGAATTACTAAAATTATTTTGAAAATATTTTTGGCCAATTCTTATTCAAATTAATAAAATTACTTTAAAGTAATTTTATTATTACTTTTTAAATTTATATATTTTTATTTTTATTGTGGTTTCAATCCTTTCTCAACTCTATAACTTAGAAACGCGAAAACTAGTGAACAAAACTATTGTGCGGAGAAACAAGTTGAGCACAGTACTACCAAGGACGTGTTGGAGATTGAACTCGTAACTTCTTGCTTGCTAAGCAAGTTTTTCTTTGTCATGTTAATGAAAGAAAAGGAGTTACTTTTGTTCTTAATGTAAGTAAACACTAAACTATGGTGTTGACATCTATTTTAGATACATCAAACCCATGATAGACCAACAATATCGTTATTTTCAAAACTTTTAACCAATTGCTCCATAACAAAATGTAAAATTTACCTTTTGGATCTTCAATCTTTTTATCCACTTGTTTTATAACTAAAATAAAAAAAAAAAGTTAACATGTTTGTATAAGTTAATATGTCATACTATCATAAATGATATGACATAATATATATATATATATATATATATATATATATATATATATATATATATATATATATATATATATATATATATATATATATATATATATATATATATATATATATATATATATATATATATATATATATATATATGTTAATATATTATATGTTTAGCCTTTGGAATTAGGGTCAAGGGTGCCTTTGGAATTAGGGTCAAGTGCTGACCTCAGAACTTTAAAACTTGATTTTATTTGCTTTTTCAAATAAATAAAAAAAATAAAAAGGAATGTTTTATTTAAATTCTAAATAAAATATTCCTTTTTTTTGTTTTTTATTTATTTGAAAATTTTCTACACTTTTTATTATTTTTTAAATTATTAATTTACCAGCCACATATATTTATAGCAAAACCACATATATTCATAGCAAAAAAATAAATATGGTAAAAAAGACTTAATTGTTAAAATAAAATTTTGATTGTTAAAATAAAATAAATTTTAATTGTTAAAATAAAAGTTAAGGTGCCTTGCATCCACAGCACAACAAAACAATAAAAATAAAAATAAAAACACAAAAGTTTCATTATTAGATTCTAAATAAAACAATTATAACAAAATCGGCAGATTTATTGTTTTATTTGAATTCCTAATACAATGGTAAAATGATGCATTCGTTTTTCCAAGTTTTTAAAACATTTGAAGTTTTGTTTTTCTGTCAATTTTATGCTGAACTTTCCTGCATTCTTCGATTTGTCAAACCCTGTTTCTGAATTTTGTGCCAAACTGATGCTACCCTTGAACAGTTTTAGATCAGCAGTTTTTTGCCGACCTCATTTTTCCTAATTCGGAGGGCTGTATGTCACACATGCACACATATACTTCAGTTGGTTTATTATTTGTCTTAAAAAAAACTTAGTATTGATATAGGCTTGTAAAAAAGTTATCTGACCAAGCAATATTTAGGTAAGCTTTATTAATTTTATGTGAATTTAGGTAAGTTTTATTAATTTTATGTGAATTTTTTAGCAAACTTTTATACAATTAATGAAATTGCATAAGAAAAAACTCTTTATTATGTTTTTTTTTTAACAAAATGGCTGGAGGTAAACCTCACTGGACTCAGAGAAATTTAACTGTCTATCTAGTCAATAAGAGTAAAAGTTATAGTCAGGTACAGCAAGAGACTGGAATTCCTCATGATGCAGTATCCAAAATAATAAAAAAGTATAATTTGATCTGAACAACAACCACAACAGACAGGCAGGGTCACAAAAAGAAGACTTCTAAGTATTTTGATTAAGAGACTTAATTATGCAATTTAAGAAAAATCGCTTCATTTCTGCTAGAAAACTGACTGAGCAAGCTGAAGAGGATTATGAAATCAAATTATCCCATCAGAAGATCAAAAACCGTATCTGAGACCAAGGATTTCAAGGACAACTTGTGTGTTATAAACCAAATTCGAGTAAGAAACACATGAAAAGAAGAAATCGAAACCATTACATCCATATCTATCAGCAAAACAATTTTCCAGAAAACAGACGTCTGTTTATTACTGCTAGTAACCATTGTAAAAAGGTTTTGTCTAACGCCAAAGCCCGCTATTCTCAGATTTTTTTTTTTTTTTTTTTTTTTTTAACATCTTCACTTCCAACAAGGCTGCAAGCAACCACTACAAGAGTTGGAAGTTACTGGAAGAGAAAAGACTAAATCTGTAGAGCAAGATAACGATTGACTGATGACTTAAAAGATTGCAAATTATATGAATCAGGAAAGCAAGATGAAGGAAGCGAATTCCAAAGAACTGATGTTCGAGGAAAAAAACTAGAAAAATAAGAGTTTTTGAAGCACTTAGGAACAGTCACAGAAAAAGAATGAGACTTAATTGAATGGCGAGTAACACGAGAATGAATTTTAGTAGATGGCACAAGGGACGCTAGCTCTTTAGAGCAGTGCCCATTATAGTATTTGTAGAAAAGAGAAAGAGAAGCAACATTACGACGATGTGACAAAGGTTGGAGATTGGCTGCCAGAGCAGGTCCAACTATGTTTACAATTCGTTTTTGCACCTTGTCTAAAAGAGAAAGAGCATCATTAGAAGATCCGCCCCAGATGTGGCAACAGTATTCCATACAGGGACGGATTTGAGATTTATAGAGATAGAGAATAGAATCTGGAGTAAGAAAGTGTTGAGCTCGATAAAGAGATGCAACCTTAGCAGATGCTAATTTTGCAATGGATTTGATATACGGTTTAAAAGAAAGATCAGAAGTAAGAGTTAATCCTAGAAGATGAATGGTAGATGACTCATCTAGTACATTACCATTCATAAATATAGGAAGATCTAAATTATTACGATAACGATTGGCCGAATAAAATTGAGTTTTATCTGAATTAAAGTTCACCAGCCACTGTGAGCCCCATGCTGTAGCAGAAGTGAGATCCTTTTCAAGCTCAGATACCCCCTCCAAGCAATCAGAGAGTGTAGGCTTCTTATCATGACAAGAGTAAATGGTAGTGTCGTCAGCGAATAATGCCACCTTAGATGTGAGAATATCTGGAAGATCGTTAATGTAAATTAAAAAAAGTATAGGGCCAAGGATTGAACCTTGAGGAACCCCTGAAGTTACAGGATGTGAAGAAGAGTGTTGTCCATCGAGGACAACTTTTATACTACGATTGGAAAGAAAGGACTCAATAATCTTAAAGATCATGAAATCTCGTATTTCATCACAAAAATTAGGCTCTCGTGACTTCTGGAGAACCTTTAATAGTATCAATAATAAGGGTAAGTCTGTTTTCCACCTCTTTTGTATGGTTCAGACTTTGTCACCTCACCTAAAGACAAAGCTGAATTGTTTGCCAAGAACTTTTCATCAATATCATCTCTTGATTCCACTAGTTGTGTTCTACCTGATATAGCCGGAAAACAGGTTGATCCATTGCTCGACATCCGTATCACTCCAGCTTCTGTATCTAAAGTGATTTCCTGCTTAGACTCTGCTACAGCTTGCAGCCCCGACAACATACCTGTTATTGTCTTGCAGAAGTGTTCTCCGGAATTGTCATCTATTCTTTCAAAACTATTTAACAAGTGCTTATCAGAGTCTTGTTTTCCAGCCTGCTGAAAAGCAGCATCTGTTATCCCTATTTTTAAAAATTCTGAAGAGCGATCTGATTTGTTTAACTATCGTACTATTAGTCTTCTTCCTATCATAAGCAAGGTTTTTGAATCTTTAATTAACAAACACTTAACCTCTCATCTCGAATCTCATAACCTACTTTTTGATCATCAATATGGATTGTGATCTTCTCATCCTACAGCTGATTTGCTATCAGTAATAACCGATAGGTTTTATCGCGCATTAGATAAAGGTAGAGAGGTTAAGGTCATCGCTCTTGACATTTCTAAAGCATTTGATAAAGTTTGGCATGCTGGTCTTCTCCATAAACTTTCTTCTTACGGTGTATCTGGAAACATCTTTAAGATTATTGAATCCTTTCTTTCCAATCGTAGTATAAAAGTTGTCCTTGATGGACAGCACTTTTCTTTTTATTCTGTAACCTCAGGGGTTCCTCAAGGTTCAATCCTTGGCCCAATACTCTTTTTAATTTACATTAACGATCTTCCAGATATTCTCACATCTAAGGTGGATTTGTTCGCCGATGATACTACCATTTATTCTTGTCACGATAAGAAGCCAACACTCTCTGATTGCTTGCAGGGGGCATCTGAGCTTGAAAAGGATCTCACTTCTGCTACAGCATAGGGCTAACAGTGGCTGGTGAACTTTAATTCAGATAAAACTCAATTTTTTTCAGCCAATTGTTATCGCAATAATTTAGACCTTCCTATATTTATGAACGGTAATGTACTCAATGAGTCTCCTACCCTTCATCTTCTAGGATTAATTCTTACTTCTGATCTTTCTTGGAAACCTTATATTAAATCCGTTGCAAAATTAGCATCTGCTAAAGTTGCTTCTCTTTATCGAGCTCAACACTTTCTTACTCTGGATTCTATTCTCTATCTCTATAAATCTCAAATCCGGCCTTGTATGGAATACTGTTGCCATATCTGGGGCAGATCTTCTAATGATAACCTTTCTCTTTTAGACAAGGTGCAAAAACGCATTGTAAACATAGTTGAACCTGCTCTTGCAGCCAACCTTCAATCTCTGTCACATCTTCATAATGTTGCTTCTCTTTCTCTTTTCTACAAATACTATAATGGGCACTGCTCTAAAGAGCTAGCGTCTCTTGTGCCATCTACTAAAATTCATTCTTGTGTTACTCGTCATTCAATTAAGTCTCATCCTTTTTCTGTTACTGTTCCTAAGTGCTCCAAAAACTCTTACTTGTCTAGTTTTTTTCCTTGAACATCAGTTCTTTGGAATTCGCTTCCTTCATTTTGCATTCCATTCATACAATTTGCAATCTTTTAAGTCGTCTGTCAATCGTTATCTTGCTCTACAATCTTCATCTTTTCTCTTCCAGTAACTTCCAACACTAATTAGAGGTCGCTTGCAGCCTTGTTGGAAGCAAAGATGTTTAAAAAAAAAAAAATTGCCACTAAAACTAAGGAATGGTTTGCTAAAAATAATGTCGAGGCCTTGGAATGGCCCACACAATCACAGGAGCCTAATCCCATTGAACATTTGTGAGAAACTTTGGACTGAAAAATTGGAGATCAGTCGTTTTCCAAAAAAGAGATTCTCAGAGTGGCAATTGAAGAAGCCTGGGAAAAGATTCAACCAGAAGAAACAAAATCTTTATTTTATTCAACGCCTAGATGTCTAGAAGATGTAATCCAAGCAAAATAAGGAGAATGAGAAGCAAAAGCTCTACAAGTATTAAAAAATTGTTTTGTTATTTAATAATTTATTATGAAACAAAAAATGTGTTTAATTATTTGTTCGACAATAAAAAAAATTTAAGTTCCTTTTTT